AAAAGGAAACCCCAGCGGAGCCGGTGCGGTGCGGTGCCGCGGGCTGCGCAGAACCAGCGCCGCCGCAGCGGGCGCCCTGCTGCCTGCCCAGACAACAGCCATCGGGAGCAGTACAAGAAACTTTTAATAGTCTTTCGGTTCAAAGCAAACAAGTTATTTGTAACAAAGATAACGTAGGTCTTTTAACCTGACAGCGCCCCTTTAGTAAGGATGGAGTATACATTCGTCTTGCCCTCGCTGCATCCGAACGCATCCTCCTCCGCCCACCTGGAAAGGCATCGGTTCACATGCATTGCTCTCCCAAACACGTCAGAACAAACAGGTTATAAACACAGAGAGTTAAACTATTGCTATTGTTCTTTGAGTGAGTAGTACGTGGATCTTTGCTTCAGAGAGATGAGTGCCAGATGGGGGTGGCTGAAGATAGACTGACGTAGACTGGGATGGACCGAATAGGTGGAGAAAACTCGCTGGCACTTTTCCTGGTGGCTACACCCACGTCATCTGGTATTATTGCAGCAATAAGGTCCTGCTCTACGATTGCTTCTCCGTGTCGGATCCGTACCATGGCAACAGATGGGGGGCAAAGAAGGGACCTGGGGAAGCTTCGAGAAGCTCAACAGAGGATGAGGACGGAGGTGCTATGATTGTCAGGCTGACTGGTTCGTATCTGCTTGAACATGGAGTGATGGAGAGGTGAGAGTAATATTGCACTTCTGCATTCAGTGACAGTTACATCAAACTTGGTCCATAAAATAATTGCTTTGTACATAATGCCTGAAACAAAAAAGCTACATTTTTAAATATTAATAAACCCTGAAGGTTCCAGTCCCTCCAGACATTTTTTCCTCTACATAAATAAATAACTTTCAACTTTATATATCCACTTTTTATGTTGAACATTTACATTCGCCTCTGTTTTACACTATCTACACATAAGAAAATGTGAACACCCATCTCATCAGCATGGGAAAACGTACAGACCATGCCTTGGTTGTGGACTCTTCTTTCAGAGGAAAGTTGAATTTTGCAAAGGCCATATCCAAATTTGCAGAAATTATTTTGTGATGTGGTTCGGTGACTCACGGGACGGATTGTGGCTTGGCTTCCTACTCAGATGGCAACTGCTCGATACAGCATTCGACTAGCAGACAGCTGGGACAATTCACACTGCTTTTAAACCCAGAAAGCTCTGGCTGCACGTTCAGAGAGAGCTAAGCTGAGTCGGCAGAAAGGGAAGTCAGTCTGCAGTAATGAAAATCCTCAGGTACATTCTGGAATCGCATAATTCTCAGAGAGAAGCGGCTAAGCAGTTGGCAGTCGGGCTGCCAGGCCTGGGAGACGCCCCGCGCGTGCGGCCGGGCTCAAACGCCCGCCGGCTGGGACGC